TCGAGTGCTTCTAATAATAGCGGGGTTGAAAGGGGCAGAGACGCGACTGGGACCAATTCAGGGCCAATCATCTGAAATCAACCCCAATCGACCCTACTAAAATTAAATATCCCACTTCTCTTCAAGCTTATCATAACCCCCCAAATTATTGCCCCTACATTCTTCTTTCAACGACATCAGAATCATCACACACATTTCAAATCATTGCTATCATCAGCATCATCATCATTCCAAATACTTCAATATTAACATCAAATATATCATTGCCCTGGTTGAATTTAATATATCGAAAGTTGCCTCTTTCACTGATGGTTTCGATAACTCAAAAAGACATACTACATGAACATGAGTTTTGATAGGTCGCCTTTCAAGGTTATCAGACGGTTGGGAAGTTTTATCACCCTTGTACTCCAGACATCAACAGTTTCCAATCAACCTTGACACAACCAAACCCCGTATCTACATTTCGTTCATCTCATCCCATCTCAACCAAGCTAATAACCGGATTAAGATCAGATTAGACCGGAGTAAAAATCCCGTCTGATATCTACACGCTCGCTTCTCTCTTTTCAGATGACAGGTATTCTAGGCGCTGCGACAATTTCAATCTCATGTATAGTTTCATAGCTTCATATGCAACAACGGGATCTTCATTGCCAATGTACAGCAGCATGATTATCACTCTTTTCTATTTCTTTCACCGATTCAATTGGATATCCGATGAATTTACAGATGTCGTGATGCCAAGGAAAAAGAATAAGTATAGACGGTCGTCTTCTTCTTTTCTTTCAACCTCATCCTAAGCATTCTTTTCTAATCTTTCAGTTCAAATTTCATCGGGCGGGTTCCTCTCTTTTATAGTTTCCCTCTTTTAGTTCGGATCTATTATATTTTGTCAATCAAATAGATCACGTTGACCGTGTATCTAATTTCACTACCAAACGCCTCGACGGTCTTCATTCGTTTATATACAATATCTTGTACAATTTTAAAGTCAAGATTTTAAATCCAGACAATGTATTTCAACAAACTCGCAACCGCAGCTGCGTTAATAAGTGTTGTGGCAGCAGTGCCATCACCACAAAAGGGGACGAACAACGGTGCTACAGCCGCCAATGGGAATGATGCTTCACTTACATTAGCATCAAATGCCATTCAAAGTGGCTCATTTGCCGATGGTTCAGGAGAGATTGGTGCGGCGGAAGTTGGACAAGCAAAATCAGCAACTTCGAAAAATAACTTCATCAACTTTTGTGCTGGTGAAAAATTGACAAATGGCCTACAAATCACCACAGGATCATGTAACGGTATCCGTAAGTCATCAATGATATCTATCTTATTGTTATATATCTAACTAGCAATAGCAATGGGAAGAATTCCAGCAAAAACCGCCATGGTATCTTCAACTATTATCAATCCTCCGACAGGTGGAAAGGGCATCCCCGCAGATACAACCTTTAACATCACAGTTCAAATGTCTAATCTCGTCGCCGGCTCATTCACCAACGCCGACTCCACTTACTTCTCGGCACCTCAAGATCTTTCAGGTGGAAAAGTAGTAGGCCACACCCACGTTACCGTTCAAGACCTTGGTAGCTCGTTAAACCCAAAACAAGCTCTCGACGCCACTCAATTCGCCTTCTTTAAAGGTATCAATGACGCAGGAAATGGTCAAGGTCTTCTTTCCGCTGTCGTCACTGGTGGTCTTCCAGCTGGAAATTATCGAGTTTGCACATTAGCTTCTTCATCCAATCATCAACCTGTCATTATGCCAGTTGCTCAACGAGGCACAGCAGACGATTGTACAAAATTTGTCGTAACGGGTTCAGGTACCACTGCAAATGCAAATTCGGATAATGGATCAGGTGGACAAGCAGCTGCTGCGTTGGCGGCAAGTGCGGTAAATGCTGGACCAAATAATTCGGTGGCTTCTTCGGCTACTGCAACAGCTACTTCGAAAAATTCCGCAGCTAATGGTAATAATGCTGGTGCAGCAAATTCAGCTAATAAGGGTAATTCTGCTGCACAAGGAGGAAATAAAAATCAAGGTCAGGCGGGAAATCAAGGTCAGGGAGCAAATCAATTTCAAGGTCAGGCAGGACAGAATAGTGGTGCAAATGCTGCGCAGGAAGAAAGAAAGGGTAAGCAGGCAAAGAGACGTCGTTCGAGATTTGATTTTATTGTTTAGATTTCTTATTTATTCTAAAAGGTTCAAGAATTTTTCATGTATGAATGAGGAATTAGCGGAGTGGAAAGATGGATCAGGATACTCACTCGGGTACGAGTTAAATATCATTAATGCAGATAAGCAAGAAAGGCAATGTGTTGGGTTTCCTGAGACCGAATGTCAACCATTCCCAAAAGATTGATAAAATGAGTGTGTTTCTGTGGTGGTAGAGGTTTAGTGAAACCATCTGCAACCATTTCAGTAGTTGGAACCCATTCGACTTGTAGCCTTCCTGCTTGCACTTCCTGGCGAAGCCAACAAGAGTGTATATCAACATGCCGGAGTTTTGTAACAAGTCTAGGAGTACTATGCTGAAGAAGTCGAATGGTTTGGCGATTATCACAGAAAATTGAAGCCTTTTCTTCGAGATCTAAACCAACATTCTTAAAGAAGCGTATCCACCACATAAGCTCTCGAGCAGTAACGGAAAGAGCCAGTATTTCAGAGTGTGTGCTGGAAGTAGTCACCGACTTCAGCTTAGTGCTTTTGAAGTGGATCAAACCTCCAAAGAGTATGAGGCAATATCCCATTGAAGAAACTCTTGTATCGATATCGTCAGCATGGGAGGCGTCACTCCAGATTTGAAAGTTCCTGGTAGTTGTTGCTTTCTTCCCATCGAACATGATAGCATAGAATTTGGTATTCTCAAGGTATTGCAATGTATGTACTGCTGCATTGATATGAGTAGCGGATGGATTACGAAGAAATTCTGATAGTATTGAAGATGCTTTTGCAATATCAGCCCGAGTCACAACAGCAGCGTAGTTAATGCTGCCAACTCGCTGCTGGTAGCCGAAAACCTGTTGCGGAGTTGCAATTGCTGGATTCTTTGTAAGTGCTGTTGTTGGCAATGGAGAACAGGCTTGAGGATTAGGTTTGATATTGAAGCGTGTTGATATTTTTGAAATGTAGTTATCTTGGCAAAGCCACAGACGATGATTTTGTCGATCTCGTAGTACCCTAATCCCTAAGAAGAACTGTATATCTCCAAGTGATTTGATGGTGTATGCTGATTTTGAGGTGTTTTCGAATAAGGTTAATCGTAGCAAATCAGCTTTCTTGCAAATTGCGATAATATCGTCGATATAGAAGAGAATCGTAAGCCAGCTATTGGTGAAAACACAAAATGCTCCTGGAACTGGATCCAGACCAAAGTTGGTTAACGTGTAGATCAGATCCTTATACCAGTATGCTGGAGACTCTCGGAAGCCATAAAGTGCTTGGTTTACGGAAATCACTTTCCTTGGGACTTCGAAGTTATCAGGGCACTTGCAAATAATTGGTTGCCTTAATGTTGCATGTAAAAAAGCATTGGAAACGTCAAATTATCGAATCTCAAGATCGAAAGCTGCAGCGATAGCCATCATAGCTCTAAAAATTTGTGAAGTTAGCGTTGCAGCGTATGTCTCTTCTTCGGTTGATTGAAGATCTCCTCTGGCACAGATTCTTGCTTTGAACTTGATGAGATAACCATCTTGATCGAATTTATAAGTGAAAACCCAGAGTAATGGTAAAGGCTTTTGTCCTCTTGTAGATATATCGATGTATTTGAAGGTTTTACGTTCTTTCAGAGCGTTGATCTCATCCTCACATGCTTTTCGGAATTCTCTAGCATATGGATGCTGTACTAGCTCATGATAAAATCGAGGTGGAGGTGGTAGATCATTTTGATGTAATCTAGGAGTTCGTAATTTAGACCTTCCGATAGCAAATACTGCAAAGTAGCTGGATAGTTGAGGAAGTGATGAAAATGCTGTAGTATGATGTTCTTTCCTTTGTGAACGTCTAGAACCCTGAATTATATAGGATACATCGATATCGGCATGTATTTGCTCTGCCAAAGGTGCTGTATTATAAGATGATGTTGTAGTGATGATATCACGTTGACTTAACGATGATGATGGGGAAGATGAGAGTTCTGACTCCGGTAATGATGGTATAGGAACATCTCTAGTAGATTGTTTTGTAAGTGCTTCTGGTGATAAGGTTGCTCTAGGCGTTGGCAATTGAGGGTTAGTTTGAGGAACCCCCTTATTGGTTGGAATACCATCATCTGTCTGGTTTGAAGAGCTTTCATTTGTTGGTTGCTCGTTTAAGCGATTGCGTTGTAAGTTCTATGGCCCTTCAACTACAATTATATCACTAATACTCTCATCTGATTCTTCACTCAACAGATTCGATATTTCTATCTCTTCTGCCCTCTTTTCGTGAATAACTGCAGTATCCCAAAGTTGATCCTTAATAAGAAAGCCAATATTTATATCTTCTGATCGATAATACCGGGTTTCATCAAATTTGACATCTCTACTTCGAATAACGCGATTTATGAAAGGGAGCTAGATCCTGAAGATATTCGTTGAATCATACCCTACAAGATAGCCCAGTTTTGCACGAGGTTACATCTTCGCACGTCTTGGAATCTGCTTGTTGAGCACATATGCCAAGCACCCATATGGATATAGATGTGCTAGCGAAGGTTTATTGCCAGTAGCACTTTCAAATAGTGTTTTCCATTGAAGAGCTCTTTTTGGAGTACGGTTTTCAAGATAACCGGCTGTTTTAATTGCCTCTGGCCAAAGGTTTTGTGGTAGGTTTGCTAAAAGGAGGAGGGCTCTTGCTCTGACCATAAGCATTTTACCAGCATTCTCTGCAGTGCCATTCTGTGCTGGTGTATTTGGTGGAGTGCGTTCGACAATGATGCCATATTTGTCTGTGATCCTCTTGAAGTCGCCCCCTAACGTAGTTTCATCGTCGAAGCGTATGAATCGGATCTTTGAGCCGAATTGTGTTTGTATTAGAGAGAATTGAGTATTTATAATATCGATCATCTTTGTTTTCCTAATTAGAATATACACCCATTGTATTTTGTGTATCGTACACCAGAAGTGGCTGATATATCAGGTATTATTATAAGCCTCATTCATTTCGAACAGATCCCATACCAATCGATCTCCGATATGGCTATTTTCTGACATCTCCTTCCTTGGATTACGAGATATAATCTGTTGAGCCTTCGAGAGATTACAAACTTTGCAGGTAGAGAAGGAAGGTATCGAAATCGTTTTATCGATAATGATATCAGTAGTTGCTGATTCTAGGTGCTGAAGGGCTTCGAGAGAAGGATGGCCTAGAAGATCATGTAATTCTATTATTGTAACCTTTCGGCATATTGATTTGGTGTGGTTTTTGGTGGCAAACGAAGCATACTGAAAAGGGATAATAGGATCGAGGGTCCAATGGTCTCCTGTTTGCTTCAGAGTAATAAATGCAATGCCTTCTTTTGTAAGAACATCTGAGTGTTCAATGTTCCAATATACATCTTTCTTTGAGAGTAAAGCTAGAGAGACTAAATTTGTAAGAAACCCTGGGATGTATGCCACTCTTTTTAAGGTTATTTGCCCTGGCCCAATTGGTGTATTGATCAATATAGTGATAGTACCGAATGCTTCAATTTGGAATCGGTCCCTTCCAGCGTTTATCATATCAGATGGCTTTCCAAACTCTTCAAGAACAAAGTTGTGTAGAGAGTTAGTAATATAGATATCGGAACCATTATCAATTAGCTATTTGTAAAGGATGCTAGCATTGTTGTAAATAGGACTTTGTTTAGTGAGAAAAGCCCCAAGATCCTTATCTTTCTCTTTTCCAGATTCTGAAGGATTAATCAGTGTTTCCTTCCATACTGGATTCCAAGAGAGATTTGCTAGCTTGAGAAGTTCCTTAGTTCTTTCATGTCTACAAACAAACCAGTTCCTTCATTTTGTTGATTGCCTTCCCATAGAACTTCTTGAAATATTCAATATCGGCATCGAT